GGGGTGGAAGGGGGGGGAGGGGGACTGGTGGGGCCAGCAGAGGGGTGGGGAGAGGGACCGTCGTTGCAGCGTCGGCGATGCGAAGCGCGCGGTGTACAGTACGCCAACCGAGGAAGAGGAGGGAATGATGTTTGCTAGTGAGATGAAGAGAGAAGGGGGACAAGGGCCTGCTTGGGCATAACATCTCGAGAGCCACCAATGCGAGTGGTGGCGCACCAGGCGTGCCAGTAGCGGCGGACAACAGTGGAACCAGTTGGAGATTCAAGCCAACCGGCCTCTTACCCATTCACGTACCAGCGGAAAATGAGTGTTCAATGATTTGAAATTGTGAGGACCAGTCCATCTTTTAAATGGAGTTGAAAATAATTTTTTTTTTCGCGGGGAGAACTCACCTGAGAGTATTGCCAGGCCGAACAATTCGCAGTCTCGCATACCCTGTTGTCCTAGGATTATACATGTTTGGGCGTACACTTCCTTTACTCGTGATTTTGACTGCAAAAAAAAATATTTTTACTTTTATGGAGATTTTTAGGATTGTTAGAAGATAATGGGAACTTCCAGGGAACTTTTAATTTTGAAATGATACGTTTTTTCTCAATTCAATGAATTTTTCAGTTTTTTTAAAGAATAAGTGTTGAATTAATTTTGCATATTTTGATTGCAAATAATAACTAAAATCGGAGTGTTTTTTTTTCAATAAAGGAAAAAATATCTAGAAATTTTGAAAAGAATATTAGACACATTATTTAGAAAAGAAAATTAGACACTGAATTTTTCTGAAATCCCCGCCTCCCTTCATTTTGATTGAAAATTTGGCAACAGAAATGAGAAAAAAAGATGATAATGAATTGGAAATTATTATTTTGCAAGCGGACACTTTGAATCACCAAATTTTGATGAAATTACTCGTGAAAATATTTAAGAAAAGGGTAATTTGACAATTTAAAAATGACGAGAGCCCTCAATTTAAGTGAATTTATCGTATCTCGTTTTCTGACATTGCCGACTACGTCTGCAGCTGCGCTTGGCATTCCACGGGCGCGCGCGCTCCTCGTCTGTCCTGAGGACACACGATGCACCGCAAATCTCTCTAAGACCTGGCCCATAAAACATCCCAACTTCTACCCAACAACAAACCTGCTGTCTCTCGATTTACAACCGATCCAATCTCTATTCTTCCTTTATCTCCTCTATTTTCCATACTCACATCTTTCGACCGTTGATTTATCTTTTGTGTATCACAAGTCCATTTTGGTTGGAAGAAGGGGGATAGGATTTTTGTTTTTTATTTTTTTAGGAGAAGGGGGGGGAGGGAAGAAAAAAAGGCAGGTGCAACGGGGGAGAAAGAAATCATGTAAATACTGACCTCGACGACGAAGTAAAGGGGATCACCGGGGAGGGCGTGAACGGCGAGATAGCGGCTAGCGGACACCAGGGGTTGAAGGCAGGACCGCGCAGCCGTGACACCGCTACCACGCATGCTGCATGCTTCATGTCGTCGCCGCTACGCCCAGCGTTCTCACTGAAAGAAGTTGAAAAAAAAACGACATTATTTTTGGAATTCTCCAATGTTTCATTTAGACTCGTGAGATATTCTCAGGATAATTCGTAGGGAAATTTTGACGGGAAGCGGTAGATGTTATCACTCTTACTCGGAATATCAACGCAACGTCTTCAAAGGAATTTCTTTTGATATTGAAGACGAAAAGTCGTGTTTCAAGCGCTGCAGAACATAAAAAATTTGTGTGACATTTTACGCACGCTCTGCGTACGCAAAACCCCACTTCCCACACATTGTGATGAAAAATAGGGTTCGATACTCGCGGGAAAAGTGTTTTTAGACTCGTGGGATTATATCACTCGCCTTCGGCTCGTGCTATAAACCTCCCTCGAGCCCAAAAAAACTTTCCCGCAATCGTATCGAAATATACTATTTGCACACCCCTACACGGAAAGTTCATACTTTCCTCCCGCTCATCAAACAGCAAAATACGAACTTTCCTTTGCAGGCGTGTTAAAAAATCGCATGTGCACCTCGGGCGGAAAGTCTTGACTTTCCGCCCTTGTTGCACCATATACTATTTTGTGATACCTGCCTCAAAAGTGCACTTTTCGAAACGGTTGAGTGTGCGTTAAGTTCACGAATGTTTTTTTTTATCGTTATTTTACATCGCTTTGACTCGGTTAGGGTATACGGCGATGATGATCAAGACTTTTTAAATGGCTAGATCGCACCATTCTACCCGACCGGGATTTGAACTCGGAACTTTTCGCATGTGAGGCAACCAACTTACCCACTGCGCCAAGGCACCGGTCACGTTCACAAATGTGACGTAAATTCACGTGCGTAAAACGAAATTCACTTTCGGCACTCGTGCACAGAAACAACCACATTACAACCACATACAAGTGCGTAAAGAACCACTTTTTCGCACGCACGCGTAACACATCCTATTTTTAGTGATACCTGCCAAGTTCACTATTCGGAACGGTAGTGGGGGTACTGTGGTTGTTTTTGTGCACGAAGTGCGAAGAGCGATGCTTTACGCACGAGAATTTACGCACGACGTCTGGACTTTACCCACGCCGTACGTAAAACAAACACTTTACGCATACTAAACAGTTTCAAAAAGTAAACTTTTCAGGCAGGTATCAAAATCATTTACCGTCCTTTACACTAAAATTTCCAATAATGACAAAATTTTTCAGTTGACGGTTCAAACAAATCCTTCTTACAGCGATGGAAGATAATTCTTCTGGAATGTCTTCCCCCGTTGAGAATTATTTTTTATTACCAGCTGTTACCGCCACAAAATATAATTGTATAGAGAGTGATCAAGATAACAATATTTTTCCCATGTGCCTACTAATTCCCCAAGAATTTCCTCTCCTTCTGGAATGCGCTGATGAAACACTATTCTGCTCTTCAATGCATGCTAGAAGCGGGCAATAAAAGTGAAGGAAAAGAAATCCACTTGTCGCCTTCACCGAACAAGTAATGCATTCCGAAACAATTCTCCGTGACCTTGGAATATTCCTCGTATGTTTACCCACTATTGCTCCTCTGTTATGAGACCTCTGTGAATATCAGTGTGAAGACTTATCGTTTATCAAATAAAAATCGGCGGTGTTGGATTCCATCATAAAAAGGCGAGGGATTGATGATCCGGAAATTTAATCAGCACCGGAGAGAATTTTCCAACATTTCTTTTCCAAATTGGAGTAAAAAATGCAAGAAATCTAGTATAAGTTACAATTTCCCAGGTAAAAATTTCACAAATATATTACTAGGTTCATAGCATTTTAAAGTAATGTAAACATAACTAGTATTTTGAAGATTACAATTTGAAATTAATTCTGAACGAAAACTATACTGGTAGAAATTTCTTGAAATTTCAGTTAGCGTTATCTGAATTTTCGATGTTGAAGAGGTTAAATTCAATTTCAAATGAAAGCGTTCACTAAATTTCTCATTCATCTTGAAAATTGGAGAAAATTGGGTTTTTCAGGTTGATTTTTCATTGATTTTTGATCATTGATCATTGATTTTTTCAATGAGAGCTTGAATTTCCAAACTCATCGGGAAAATTGAAGATTATATACAATTCAATTTTCAATAGATGGAGAATTCAGATAAGTTTTTCCCAGAATTTTAAAAATTTCCAAGGTTTTTCAGTGCCGCAGGGACCTGAAAATCGACAATTACTTGAATATTTAAGAAATTAACTGATTCGTTAATGAAGAAATACAGAAATATAGAAATTTCATATAATGTTGTCGTTGTTAAAAATTTCAAGCGTTTTCACTTGAAATTTCAGGGGTAATTTTCTGACAGTGTAATATGAATAGAAAATATGTAATAATTGACCTAAAAATACAAAAATAACGCAGTGTTATGAGAAAATGAACTTTTCGAGTCTAGGGTGAAGATTGAAATCTAGAAAAACTCTCGAAAAATCAGAAAAAATGAATAAAATTTCTGTGCTTAATATAAAAATTATTGTCAGGGTCAAACTTTTGTAATAAATAATTTATGTTTCTCTGCGCCCGAAATGGCGTGTTATTTCGAAATACCCTAGCCAAGCGAAAGACTATGGTTAAAAAAAATAATTGAAGAAAGCATTTGATAGATCAATTTCTTACACGTATCAAAGTTAGAATTCACAGGAAAATTTATGAATGATGAATAATTTTCTTGCTCTTTGAAATTTTCAAGATAAAAATTTCCCAAAAATATTGCAAGATTCATTAGGTTTTAAAGTAGTACAAACATAACTTCAGTTCTCAAGATCTAGAAATCTAGGATAAATCGCGAAAAATTAGAAAAAATAAATAAAAATTCTATGCCCAATATGTAAATTATCGTCAGTGTCAAACTTTTTTTGTCAATAATTTATGTTTCTTCCGCCCGAAATGGCGTGTTATATCGAAACACCCTAGTCAAACGAGAGACTATAGTTTAAAAAAATAAATGAAAAAAGAATTTGATGGATCAATTTCTTGCACTCATCAAAGTTAGAATTGATGGGAAAAATTATTAACGGTGAATAATTTTTTCTTTGCTTTTTAAATTTATTCCTCCTCGTTATACACAACGACTCAACAACAGATTATTTATATTACTGTGAGACTAATTTTTCATGCAAATATCTCGTGCGTTGATGGTTCTGTATGTTTCATCAAGTCACTCTCTATCTCTCTCTACGTTTTTCATGACTCTACTGATAAAATACACCACGAGGGCGTGGTAAATAATGAAGAAGATATCAGGTATTGAGGCAGTCGTGATCGCACTCCCGATTCTATCACTTCTATCGGGAAAATATTACACGAAGGCAAAAATACTCTTGAACTGACTCCAGAACATTTCACCTACTACCCAAAAAATTTTAGAAATCTTGAGTGGAGGATAATTTTTTATTACTTTGAGTCGTTCATTCTGGATTTTAAAAAATTTCCTCAATTACAAAAAAAAAGAACTCGTGATCAGGTTCAAAATATTGTTGACACAAAAATATTCACTCTTTCAATAAAAAACAAGAATATTTTCAGTACAAGCACTTCAAAAATATTAACTAAACAGCAAAAGAAATCTCGGGCCAACAATATTTTTATTTAACTTCGTGAATAATATAAATAGAAGATGTGAAATCGGATGACTAATCAGAAAATTCTCAACTCATAAAAAAACTCGAATTAGAATTTTCTGCTTCCGTGTCATCAGTAAAAATAAGAGAAATACCAGTGGAAAAAAAATTACCTATAATTTTCAAATATGTATGATACATTAGTATGGATCGATTACGTCATAATAGCGTGTACATTGCTGATCAGTTCAGGAATTGGATTATATTACCGATTCTCTGGTGGACGTCAGAAAACTACTGAGGTGAGGTCAATGAACTCCGTAGAATTAATCAAATAATTGAAAGTACTCGAGAGAATTTTTAACAAAGAATTTATTTAAGGATTTCCAAGTATTTCTTACAGTTTTCAATCATCAAATTTGTCGACTAAATCGCGTGATAAAAGTTGAAAAAAAATCATGAATATTCAGCGCCATTGAAATTACAATTTGCACAGAATTATTATTTTTTTAAACATTCGTTGTTTATAAATAAATAATTGAAATTGTTTAAACTTTCGAAATCGTTACTTTTTTGGCATGAAATAAATTTCTGGTAAAATTCTGAGTATGAATGAATTTTTTATGATTCCGAATGAATGATTTTTATGGTGTAAAATTCGTTGTTTATAAATTATTCATAGAAGATGCTCATCACTTTCAAAAATTGCAATTTTTCAATTATTTCATCAATCTTCCACCAAAACTAAAGTCTCCAATTTTTTTCAGATTTTTCAAATGTCTTCTAACGATTCAATTATTACAATTCCCATTCAAATTCAAACCAGCAAAGTTTAAATCATAAAATCATTGTAAAATATGCCGCAACATAGGGTCAAACGGGGCTCAAATGAAAGCTCTGATGTTCGACTACAAAACTAGAAAAGCATTTCACTGGAGAAAAAGTAGCCAAAGTACCTGGATATCGTTAAATGAAGAGATTGGTGATACCTCCAGTCTCGACTGATTCATTCATTAATTTATTGATTAAGTAATTTGTTGGTTCCGCACAGAAGCATTGTAATCGTTCAAATTTAAGTTTTGGATTTTTCGTGTTATATCGACCCATTGTTGAGGTATTGTTAAGCCATATCAATCGGCATTATTTAAATTTTAATTCACTTATTAATTTTTTAAATTTCTAAAATTTTTCAAAAATTGTTTTTTTCACGATAACTAAAAAAAAGGTTCTGAATTGATTGAATGACGCCTTAAAAAATTTGTTTGGATGTCCTTTCGACCGAGTTTGAAGATGAAGGCGATAGCAATAATCGTTATTTTTATTTATGTGAAAATTTGCAAAAATTCGGTATTTTTTGAACCTCAAAATTCCCGGGATGTCTTTGGATATCATGCTTCAAATGAATTCAATCCTAGCTTAAAATGTTTGTTTTAATGCCATTAAGCCAAAGTTGATTCAACTTTTCGGATGATTGTTGAAAATTTCGAATTTTTCATGAATTTGCCTGAAAGTTAGCTTTCTAATGATTTCTTCAAATGTAATGTTTCAAATTCATTAAATTATGTATAAATAACATTTTTATATTAACATTTTATTGAAGGGCTGAGGGGAATAATAGAAACGGTAAAAAAGACAATTGGTTGTATAGAAGAAAGAGATAAAAGAATAATGATGATGATAACGTTCAAGTGAGGTGAAAATCTGACAAAGTTAGATGAAAAGAAATCTTATTCAATTCAATGAAATGAAATAAACAATGAATTATACATATACATGACAGAAGAAAATGATGTCCAATATAACCATTCGGAAGCATATTGCCAATTTATTTATCATTGTTTTAAATTTTTTTTTAGGAATTTTTTGTTGCTAATCGAGACATGGGAGTCACGACAATTGCAATTGGTCTCATGGTGTCACTATTATCAGCTGTTAGTCTGCTGGGTGTCAGTTCAGAGATTTATATGCATGGAACGCATTATTTGGTGATCGTTTTGGGATATGTCCTTGCTACACCGGTCATTGCTTATTTTTATCTGCCGGTGTTTTTTAATTTGGGAGATACGAGTGCATTTCAGGTATGGTCGAGTAAATATTTATGTAACAATTTTTTTTATTTCCATCAGAAAGTGCCGACGAAACGATTTTTTTCATTCGGTTGTGAAGTAATACATGGCTATGTTAATTTCATTTGACGATTCATTTCTGAAAAATAATCGGAAAAGAATGAGAGATTGCGGGATTTCTGTGAAAAACATTTTTTCTATCTGCATTCCATTCCTAGATGTTTCCAGAATGTGCCGTACTGTTAGGAAAACCTTGAAATTTCATGGACTGTTTAGTGATAATTTTCAAGATAGCAACATCGAATTCCATTTGAGAATCATGAAATTTGGAATTTCACAGAAAATTGAATGGAATTTCAGATTTTTAAGCAGAAGGAAGATGAGAATTCCCCGACTTACTTGAATTCCGCAAAATTTTTAATTATTAAAAAATTTAAAGATATATTTACTTATTTTGCTGATTTCTGTGAATTTTCGTTGAATAATTGAACTGACGTTTACAGTTTCAATAGATTTATTCATAAAATTGTGAAATTGCAACAATGCAACTGTGGTAAAGTTTTTCTTCAATTGCTCGCTAATGAATGGATGGAATTGAATCTTTGTTTTTTCAAATGTAGATATTGTTGAGCCCTATCGATCACCATTAATTAAAATTCAATTCATCGTTTAGTTTTTTTAATTTTTCAATTTTTTGGAAAATGGGTTGGCCCACAATAACTAAAAAAAAATGTTCTGAATTGATTGAATGATGGCTTAAAAAATCTGTTCGGTTGTCCCTTTGACCGAGTTCGGAGTTGAAGGCGATAGCAGTAATCGTTATTTTGATTTATTCGAAAATTTCCAAAATTTTGTATTTTTTTTTAAATCAGAATTCCGGGGATATCTTTAAATCTCATGCTTCAAATGAATTCAATCATAGCTTTAAATGTTTGTTTTAATGCCATTAAGTCGAAGCTAAAAAATGATTACGATAGCTACATTGGTTCATTTGATTTTTATGATAATTGTTGAAAATTTTGAATTTTTCATGAATTTTCCCGAAAGTGCGCTTTCTGATGGTTTCTTCAAATGTGATGTTTCAAATTCATTCAAGTATGTGTAAATAAAATATTTCTATTAAAATGTTATCAAAGGGCTGCGGGGAGAGATAGAACTGTAAAAAAGACAATCGGTTGTATAGAAGAAAAGGGATAATAATAATAATGATGCTGATAACATTCAACTAACAATCAGTTGAAAATCTGACAAAATTAGGTAAAAGGAAATCTTCAATTTAATTAATTAAAATAAACAATAAATTATACATAATATAAAATAACCATTCGGAAACATATTGCTAATTTATTAGCAAAAATAACTAAACTATTTACAATACAAGAGCAATTTCCCACTTGTTTTTATTTTCTCCAACTTCATTCCTAAATTCTGATTTTAATCCATCAATTCAATAAACCGTTTTACAATTATGATTTCTTCATCATCGTTGTTTATTTTCATATCAAACAAAGCAAATATTGAATTTCAATCCACGTTGATTATCCATATGTAATCGATTGATTGACTTCCTTTTTCCGATTTCCTTTTTCCAATTGAAAATATTTCATATTCAATGTTGAATTTCATTTCCAGTATTTAGAGAAACGATTTGGAGTGAAAACACGACTAGTAGCCAGCGCAGTATTTCTCCTACAATTTCTATTGTACACCGGGGTTGTTTTGTATGCACCTGCACTTGCACTGGAAGCAACCACCGGCCTCTCCACGACAATGAGTGTATTTATTATTGGGGCCGTCTGTACTTTTTACTCGACCATCGGGGGAATGAAGGCAGTTTTGATTACAGATGTCTTTCAGGGGGGTTTGATGATTGCCTCGGTTGTTATTGTGATTGCCACTGCAGTTTTGGATGCTGGGGGGATCGACAGAATTTGGGACATTGCGGTCGAGGGGAAGAGAATTGATTTTTACAGGTGAAATCAGTTTTTTGTCGTCTTCTCAAAGACAATCTACCACAGGATTTTTTTGTTCATTTCGATTTCTTCATCTAATCGAATTGACGATCGTTTTTATTTTTAGCACTTCAGTGGATCCGACGGTTCGTCACACCTGGTGGAATCTAATAATCGGTGGATTTTTCATATATTTATCCCTGTACGGGGTCAATCAGATTCAAGTCCAAAGAATGTTGACAATTAGGTAAAAAAAAGTGGACAACAGCATTTTTTTAATGAATGGGGAAAGTAATTATTGCTAACAAATTAGCAATTGCTTTCCGAATGGGTTCTCTTTCTTTCAATTAGTATTTTACTATTCTCTTGGAATAGGAAAAAATTCTAAAAAATTAGCAGTGGAATCAGTATCATTCAAACTTTATGTTGCAACATATTATCATTCCTTCAACATATTCTTTTTATAAATTAACAGTGGAACTTGAGTAAAGAATAGAGAATCATTTTCTATCAGGTTTTTTAGCAGCAGGAAGACGAGAATACCCCAATTCACTCGGATTTTCAATCAAAACATGAATACTTATTTTATTTTTAACGGAATTTGTTGCAAGTTCCAAGGAACTTGGAAGGCCCATCGCCGGGGGCCTTCAGCCAAAAAAGATGAATATTTAGTACCAATTTACGCAGAATTTATAATTAATCGAAAATTCAATAATATATTTAGCTGAATTTTTCCGATTTTTAGTAATTTTCCTGGAATAATAGAACTGAAATTCAGTTTATTTTCATTCAGAAATTCATTCAGTATATTTTATACCCATTTTTTTCCATGGTAACGTGAATATTCGGTGGCAAAAGACACTGAATTTTTTGAATTGATTGAAAATTGAAGGATATATTCAACTTAATTTTCCTGATTTCTATTGATCTTGATAGAGTAATTCAGTAGCGAAGTGGTAAAACGGTATAAATCAATTTTGACTATTGACCAGTTTTCAATAAATATCTCGGAATCTAAGGGAGATGGCAAAATTTTTGTAATAACCTTTTTTGTAGAGCCGATTAAGAGCTATAACAAATGTGATTACGAAAATTTCGCTATCTCCGTTAGATTCGCAAATATTCCTCAAAAACTCAACTGGGAGATAAATCGACTTAAACCGGCTTACCACTTCGCTACTGAATTGAGTTGAAATTCGCAGTTTCCGTTTATTTTCTCAACAAATTGTGAAAAGTGGAGATGAAAATTGAAAGGAAAATTAATATGTTCCGAAATATAATACAAATGATAGAGACATTAGACTTATTAGAGACTTATTAAAGACGTTCGAAAACCGAAAATACCCAAATTTATAGTTTTCCGTCTAAACTGTTGAGCTACTTTCATTCAATGTTTCGATATTATTGAGGAATTTTTTAGAAGTCTGAAAAGAGCGAAAGCGGCAGTCTGGCTGTCCCTCCCCATCACCATAGTTCTCGTCTGTGGAATCGGCTTCTCCGGTCTCGCTTTGTACTCGAAATACCACAAATGCGATCCCCGAACAGCGGGTGTCATCGCCTCGAACGACCAATTAATGCCTCATTATATCATGGAAAATTTATCCAAGTATCCGGGAATTCCGGGGCTATTCATCGCTGGGATTTTCAGCGCTGGACTTAGTACAGTATCTGCTGTACAAAATTCAGCAGCTGTTATTATTTTAGAGGACTATGTGAAACCAATTTTCCAAGCTCGGTAAGTGAATTTTTGAAATAGTCATATTCACAAAAAAATAGATTCGAATGTTTTGGAAAAATTTCATCAACTTTATTTTTTTGCCATTACACTATTAGAAAATTGCTCCTAAAATTTCAAGACATATAAAAAGAAATTCATTTTATACTTCTAATGTGTTGTTTCTGAAAAATCTGTTTGTCTCTTGAATTTTCTCAATATTATAAAAAATCTAAATCGACTTCTGGTGATGAAAATTTGGTACTCGAAATTAAGACTTCAAAATTAAGGGTCGAAAAATAAGGGTTATGAGGGTTATAATAAGGGTCGGAATAAGGTTCACGAGGGGTCAGATTAAGGGTCACAAGGGTCAAAATAAGAGTCGTGAGGATCATAAGACTCATGCGAATGTTAGGATAAGGATCATAAAGGTCAAGTTAAGGGTCACGAGGGTCGAATTAAGTGTCACGAAAGTCAGAATAAGGGTCATATGTGTCAGATTAAGGGTCATATAAGTCAGATTGAGGTTTACAGGTTTAAGGGTCACAAGGGTCCAGATAAGGGTGACAAGGGTCAGATTAAATATTTAAATAAGGGTCACAAGGATCAGATGAAGGGTTACAAGAGTCAGAGAAAAAGTCCAAATAAGGGTCAAAAGGGTCAAAAATCAAGGGTCAGAAACTAAGGGTTACCAGGGCCAAGAGAAGGGTCACAAGGGTTACAGTGAGGGTCAGATTAAGGATCCAAATAAGGGCCACAAGGGTCAGATTAAGGATCGCAAAGGTCAGATTAAGGGTTCAAACAAGGGTCGTAGGGGTCAGAAATAAGGGTCACAAGGATCAGTCTACGGATCATGGGGGTCATATGTGGATCATATGGGGGTTGATGAACGGAGCCAGCAGTAGCCCCCAAGTATTCAATGAAATTTTAATTTCCAAGTTCATATGACAATGGAGATTATTGAAAATTACGGAAATTTAGGAAACTATTCTTCTATACTCTCGATCTATTCAAAATTCAATTGAATTTGATATTCCATTTTCACAACGAAAAACTCATTTTTCGTGAACTTCCAAGATGAATAATAAATTTCATGAACGATTTGATCTCAAATTGAATACAAATTCATAACATGGAACATTAAAAAGCAGCTGTCACGTAAATTTCAAATGATTTCAAAATGTACAGAAAAAAAAATTGAATTCCTCTGATAAAAAGGGTCAAAAAATTAACGAAGAATTGAAGAATTGTCCTTAGAAGGGTCACAAATTCCCAAATTCCCCCAAAAACCTGTTTTACCGCTCATTTCACAAGCAACATGTCGTTATGAAAAATAGGAAAAAAATGTTTTCCAAAATAAATTGTTGGATTTTGGGTATTGACAGGGATTCCATGACTATTCAACACAAAACTAATTCAACAATAAATTAATCGAAAATTAGTAAATGATTCCACACGTTTCTTTATCGCCCGTCACTTTGTATATTAATTATTCCAAAATTTTAATTGAAAAAAAAAGAATAATCCTTATGAAAAATGAAAAAAAATGTCCACTGGTCGTATTTCCTCCACTCCCCAACTAAATTCTCATTTCACTCTCCCCTCAGACAAAAGACATTGACCGAGGATCAATCCGCCTACATGAGTAAATTCCTCGCATTCCTGGTGGGTCTCGTCTGCCTAGCCGTGGCCCTCCTAGCCCAACACCTTGGTAATCTCCTGCAAGCCGCTCTGACAATATTTGGAGTGGTCGGAGGTCCTCTCCTGGGTGTTTACACACTGGGAATGTTCACAGAGTCCACCGAGGAAATAAGTGCAATCTGCGGACTAATTGCCAGTTTCATTCTCTCTCTGTGGATTGGATTTGGCGAGCCAAAGCCAGAAATTCCAAAGCTCTCAGTTGACGTCAGTGGTTGCAACGTCACAATGACTGATAGTACAAATAACAGGGATAGAACAAACGATGATGACATATTTTATCTCTATCGGATATCCTACATGTGGTACTGTGCACTTGGCTTCCTCTCCTGTGTCATCATCGGCCTTCTGACGTCCCTAATCATCAATTTCTTATCTGAGACGAGAAATAACGAAAGGAAAATATTGAATCCTGATTTGTTCACTCCACTGATCGCAGCCAGAATACGAAAACGACAGGAGATGCAAAGATATTAGGGTGTTAGATAATATTGTTGAGTCAACATTGGTGAGGAAATATCACCTCGTATTCATCCATTGAGGGGCATTTGCGGTTTCCGGAGCGCTTTTGAAATTCCTCGGGCGTTACCTCGACCTCAAATTATTCCGGTGTTTGTCCGCTTTGTATGGATTCAATATTGACTGTGGTGTATTAGTTCAAGTGGTTCGAGGAAAATCACGACACATTTGTGGGTATTATTCTTTATTAGTTATTCGGATTGATGTTGCATTGGGGAATTTTGTCGATCTATGATTAATGGTTTTAGATATGTTTTCATTGTGATGACATAATAAAGTGTGTTTGGTATTTTTATGATTGATGAATAGTTTTTATAGATACTAGGCGGGCCACGCACTTCGCGCGCTAGCAGAGTTGCATGAGATCAATCTATGTCATCATTTTTTAAACTCTAATTCCCCTGATTTTCACGTTCTATAACAACAAATACCCGTTGAGATGGTATATGAATATTTTCATTTATTTGACCAATAGTTATAGAAAAATCCAAACCAAGCTGAATTTACAATAAACCACGCACGAAAAAATTTAATAGAAAAACCTATCGAATTCGTAAGAAAATTCTATTGAATTTCTATTAAACTTTGTATTAGTTTTTGGCTGATTCTATTGACATGTTCAATAGAAAACATTCAATAGAAAAAGTCAACAGAATTCAATTCAGTAGTGAAGCGGTAAACCGAGTTGAGTCGATTTTGACTATTAGCCAGTTTTTGCTGAATATCTCGGAATCTAAGAGAGATAGCAAAATTTTTCTCATGACTTTTTTTATAACGCTCTATTGGCTCTACAAAAAAGGTCATGACAAAAATCTTTCTATCTCTTTTAGATTCCGAGATATTCGTCAAAAACTAGCCAATAGTAAAAAACGACTTAACCCGGTTTACCGCTTCGCTACTGAATTTTTCTAAATAACTGACTCTTTTCATATATTTTCTACAGAATTTGCTCGACTCGAATTTTCTAACTTTTTTTTTCATTCTATTTTTCTTTTCTTCTCATCAAGAAAATCAAACGAAAAAACTTCAAAGGAAAAAAGGGACGATTTATTATTTTAATTCTATCATTAAAACAGAGACAGAAAAACAAATCACTCTCACACCCATAACAACAACCCTTGAACCATTCGAACTTCATCCTTCTCATTCTCATTCAAAGGGAGGGGACGTGGATAATTCAATTAACTCTATCAAAACACTGCTTCCCTTCTCTAAAGTTGTCGCCCCGACAACTCCCTACTAGAGCCGCTGATATTTCTGGAGTTCCGTCTTCAAAGATCTCAGTACCGTCGATGTACCCGTAGATGCCACTCTGCCAGTTTCTGCCACTTTGAGCACATTTTCAGGATTCATGGTGGTGCTCACCATGAATCTCTGTAGAGCATTCTCTCTCGCCCCCTGTCACCAAGAATTATCACTTTTAAACTGCGAAAAGTATTTTTTATTTAACCAGAAAATGCGAGACACACTGGACTCCATAAAACGGTAGTGGCTCTCTCAGAGAGATTAGAATATACAGTTTAGTTTTCGTTCATGTTCTTCAAAATGTAAGTATTAAATCATTAAAAAATTGTAGTTATCTGTCGGGAATTGATTGCTTATTCATATAAAATCATTGAACATGGATGAAATCACCTTTTTAACGCGAAAATATGAGTGGCAATGACTGGCTCCTTCGAATGAGCCCTCGTGCCAGTTATTGCCACTCGTATGTCTAACCTTCCAATCTCCCTAAACTTTCGTAAAAATATAAATCGGCACTATGTAGTTCGAACCAAATGTTGATTAACTTTATTTTGATTCTTTGGAAAATGATAAAATTGATTGGGAAGGAATTTATATACAATATTTTTATTTTTCACTAGGACCAAACTGAAGAACCGACTCCGACTGTCGTTGACAAACGCTTTCATTGAGATCAAGACTGGATCTCCAGTTGCTACTGTTGCTAAAAAACACAACATTCCCAGAACTACTCTAAGGTACAAGAGAATGGATGGGAGATCGATCGCATCAAAGTCTTTTTGATTTATAGAGGAAACTGAAGGGAACTGAAAATGCGTCGCAAATACCAAAAAAACCTGAAGAATAATTTTATTTATTATGTTTCCTATTAAGTATAACCTCTGAAGGGAAGTTTTCTAATAGTTTACTGAATAAATAATTATTTCATCCTTTCACAATGATTGAATGTGATTTAATAATGTAGTGGCACTAACTGGCCCTTCGCCATGGCAGAAACTGGCACAAGCCGTTTTGAGGATGGCATAAACTGGCGAACGCGGGTCTTTTGTTCAAACTTCAATTTAAATAAATTTTTCTATATTTAGGAATGAATAATATGTTGAATTCAAAGAAAAAACTATAAACTTGCCCCTGAGTCAACAGGATTTCACCTAGCATTGAAAATATACATAACCTACGTATTATACTAGCGGACACGGCTCTAGGTGGCATTAACTGGTACATCGACGGTATCAGGGGCTCATGGCTCGATCTTCCAACTCAAAAACCCTGACGGGAAATTACAATTGGAAGAGGTCTACTCTCTCAAATATTAGAATCGAACATGCTCTACAATTTTTCCATTCCAAACAGTCCACGAGAAATTCATTCCACTCATTCATTTTCATATCATAGCAATTTTTAAAATTTGTAGTTATCGCCATCTTCCGGTCAGACTCTTCTCTCTTCTGTTCGATGAAATCTTGATTCAACAAAATCTCTCAATTTCAACCCTCAATTCTATCACAATAATATTTTCAGCTGAGCATAAGATATTCCTACAGATTTGATCAGAAACCGAGCAAATCTCGTAATTAAATCGATAAACATCGAATTTTTCGAAACATGACATGTTAAAATCGCTACACTATCCTTTATAACAATTGATCTGGTGGATGGAATTGATAATATGGAATCTCAATTTGAAGAACTCGATGAGACCTAGAAATCGACATATGATATATGTTGATAGTTTAGACTTGATTCCAGTAGTCAAGTCTAAAGTCTCCATAAATGGAAAAAATTCCTTCCTTTCCGAAGTGTGACAAAACGTAAAAAATGAAATCAATCTACAATAACTTATTGAAAATTGAATTAAATCAGATTTATCATATACAATTCAGTAGCGAAGTGGTCAAACGGTTTAAGTCGATTTTGACTACTCATGAGTTTTCAATGAATATCTCGCAATCTAAGGCAGATAGCAAAATTTTTGTAACGACCTTTTCGGTAGAGGACATTAAGAGCTTCAAAAAAGATAANAACTGAAGGGAACTGAAAATGCGTCGCAAATACCAAAAAAACCTGAAGAATAATTTTATTTATTATGTTTCCTATTAAGTATAACCTCTGAAGGGAAGTTTTCTAATAGTTTACTGAATAAATAATTATTTCATCCTTTCACAATGATTGAATGTGATTTAATAATGTAGTGGCACTAACTGGCCCTTCGCCATGGCAGAAACTGGCACAAGCCGTTTTGAGGATGGCATAAACTGGCGAACGCGGGTCTTTTGTTCAAACTTCAATTTAAATAAATTTTTCTATATTTAGGAATGAATAATATGTTGAATTCAAAGAAAAAACTATAAACTTGCCCCTGAGTCAACAGGATTTCACCTAGCATTGAAAATATACATAACCTACGTATTATACTAGCGGACACGGCTCTAGGTGGCATTAACTGGTACATCGACGGTATCAGGGGCTCATGGCTCGATCTTCCAACTCAAAAACCCTGACGGGAAATTACAATTGGAAGAGGTCTACTCTCTCAAATATTAGAATCGAACATGCTCTACAATTTTTCCATTCCAAACAGTCCACGAGAAATTCATTCCACTCATTCATTTTCATATCATAGCAATTTTTAAAATTTGTAGTTATCGCCATCTTCCGGTCAGACTCTTCTCTCTTCTGTTCGATGAAATCTTGATTCAACAAAATCTCTCAATTTCAACCCTCAATTCTATCACAATAATATTTTCAGCTGAGCATAAGATATTCCTACAGATTTGATCAGAAACCGAGCAAATCTCGTAATTAAATCGATAAACATCGAATTTTTCGAAACATGACATGTTAAAATCGCTACACTATCCTTTATAACAATTGATCTGGTGGATGGAATTGATAATATGGAATCTCAATTTGAAGAACTCGATGAGACCTAGAAATCGACATATGATATATGTTGATAGTTTAGACTTGATTCCAGTAGTCAAGTCTAAAGTCTCCATAAATGGAAAAAATTCCTTCCTTTCCGAAGTGTGACAAAACGTAAAAAATGAAATCAATCTACAATAACTTATTGAAAATTGAATTAAATCAGATTTATCATATACAATTCAGTAGCGAAGTGGTCAAACGGTTTAAGTCGATTTTGACTACTCATGAGTTTTCAATGAATATCTCGCAATCTAAGGCAGATAGCAAAATTTTTGTAACGACCTTTTCGGTAGAGGACATTAAGAGCTTCAAAAAAGATAAATACGAAAATTTCGCTATCTCCCTTAGATTTTGAGATATTCCTCGAAAACTCAACTAAGAGCTAAGTCGACTTAAACCGTTTGACCATTTCGCTACTGAATTTTGAAGATTAGCGAATGCTCGTTAAAATAATACGTAGCTATCTCTGTCTAGTATCCGTAGAAAAGTTATTGAATGTTTTTCCTACTTGCATAATGTGATGATTCTGTTATGATATTCTCACCAGTCTGTTATTTAATGAACGATATTTATCATTAAGTGTTAATCTCCGTGGCAATAAGGAGTGATTCGGTTACTGGGACATGCGGATTCAGGTATTGGGACATCGGCGTTTTTTTGGATTCAGCTACTGGGACAACACTCACACTACAAATTCGTCCATTTTCATGTTTCTGTAATATTTTTATATCTAAAAACAATTGTTTTCTGTGAAATAATATTTGATAGTCCTCTAGAATAATTCCTCTATGACCAATATAACAATTTTTTTCATACACGTTCTTTCATCGACTCATCCCTAGAGAGTCAGCCACTGGAACAAGTACCTTGGAGGGAAGAATATGAAAATTGGAAGAAGTAAAATGATTGGTTTTGAATCTAATGTTGTTAGAACGAAATTGAAATTTCATGGGGAATTTAGTGGAAATTTCTACGAGAGTAACTCAAATCACGAAATTTCCAATTTCATTGAAAATTCTCCATCAAAACATGAATATTCTGCACGAAATTACGCTGACCTCTCATACCCGAATAACCCATTCATTTCCGTTACTCCCCAGCAGTGTTTTTCTCGTATTCAAA